TAAAGGGAGGGGATGTCCCTTATCTATCTATCTATCTATCTATCTATCTATCTGTCTATCTATCCGCCCAATTTCCAATCCAAGAAAAAGTTTCGAATTTTTCATTCGGCTCACATTCCACGAATATTCTCGCGTTTATTAATGGGAGGAAAGGCAACGCCTCATTGCCGTTCTCTGGGCTTCTGTTCCCAGGTGCAGGCTACCACGAACTATATAACGGTGTTGTCTGCAATGACACGATTCTAGCGACAGGTGTCTTCAGCTCGAAGGAGCTTTGGATGCTTTCAAAAGGTACGACGATATAAATAATAAGAAACAACGATCCTCTTCTTTTTCATCATCCAATGCATAGTATTAAAAAAAGAAAAAAAAGGGGTTTGTATATAAATCTCTCTCTCTCTCTCTCTCTAGGGTATTTTTTTCCAAAAAAAAAAAAAAGAAAAAAGTTAGTAATTAAAGAACGATTGATTCTGAGAGAGGAACGGAGAAGAATATATTTTGTGAACGGATGCTTTCGAAAGGTAATCGCAACCGGGAGTCGATATCTGGGAAACCTTTTGAAAGCATCCTCGCGATGATGAAGTAGGAAGAGAAAACTCGCTCCGCGATAAAACGCGATGTATCGACGATGTATCGTTTGAGCACGTTGTTTTATCGATGCTGATTTATCGTCCGACGGAACGAGGGATTTATTATTAGGGATTGGAACGCGATTCCACTCGACTCGGTTATCCTTTCGGCATACCTGGGACCACTTCACCGCTACTCCTCTTTCGCTATCAAGGACCCGATGAACGATTGGCACGCGTTTGCGCGTTAGCACGAGGCGGAGAGCATAGGCCTGCCGGTGTAATCCGATCTCCGGGAAAGAGCGATCTCGTGCGACTTATTAGAACTGCCACTTGTTACCAGACATTTACCAATCTCAACGTGAACGAGGGGGATGAGAAGGAGGGGGAAGGGGATTTTTGAAATCGTAAATTTAGAATCCTTATTCCATTCTCGGTGTTCGTGAAGAGGAAGTTCGTGAATTTTTCGAAGAGGTTTTTCTGAAAATTTTTCGTTTGGCGAAAAAGGGGAGGGGAGAAAAAAAACAGGGACGCGGAGAAGAGCGAGCGAGCGTTTGGGTTAGTAGGGGGTCAAGGTTGCCAACAACCTTCTCCAAGCACGTCCCATCGATAGAACAGGTGAAACCGAGTGTTATTGCCCGACATTGTCTGCCAATTTCCGTCACGAACATATACAGAAGCCGTTATATTGCCAATCCCCTCGTTTCTTTCTCTATTAGTCACCGCGCGGCCAAGAACCTAGAGGACTGTGAAAACTGTGAAAGGAAGCTCAAACATTTTTTTTTTCGAACATTTCATCGAAAATCTCTCGTCTCGAATGCTTTTAAAAAGAAAGGCATTCATCGGAAGAGGTGAAACGAACGTAAACGATCGATTCGAGCTGTTCAAACTTCGTCAAACATTCTCAAACAATTTCAAAATTCCCTTTTTCTAAGCAGCAAATAAGGGGAAAGGTGTTCTCTTGAAGAAGGATGAGAAAAGGACTTCTCAAACCTTCTCAAACAATCTCAAACAATCTCAAATATCTTCAAAAATCTTCTCCTTGCGCTTCCGGGAAACGAACAAAGGAGGACGCGTTTCTTTCTTTCCTTCTTTACTCTTGTAAAGAAAGGCGAAAGAGGAGAAAGGGGAGGGGGGGAAGGTGTCGATTTTCGCGAATCATTTCGAAATTCATTTTCATTTCGGGCTTCGAAGGGAGAGCATCGTGGCACGCGTGCACCGCCACTAAATGGAATAATAGGGCAGGGGAACGCGTATTGAAGAAGCGGCGCGAGCCTCGAAACGCCTCGACGTATGCATCTGCACTCTTCCACTCCTCCTCCTCCTCCTCCTCCTCCTCCTTCTTTTGCCACTCTCTCCCCGCTCCACCCGCCGCTCCTCGCGTCACCGTTGCAGGAGATTAGTATGCAACCTGGTGTATTAATAGACGGGGAACAATGCTCACGGCCTCAGAGGCTGCTGAGAGAGCCTCGCAGCCTCTCTTTCTCTCGCCTCCTCTCTCCCTCTGGTGAGCCAGCTCTCCCTTCTGCCGATCTTTGCAACTCGATCGAACGCCTTTTTTTTTTCTAATGCCACTCTCTTTTAACTAAGAAACACAGAAACCATTGGCGGTTTTAATACGAGAATTTTTGCTTTAAAGATTTTTCCAGAATAAATAGGATAAGGTTAAGAGTTTGGATATAGGAAATATGATTAGTTCATCTTCGATTTTATTGTCTCAGATCGTGCGTTTTATTTCTGTTATCGAAAATATCAAACAGAAAACACGTTTTACTCGAGAATTCGTTTTAATCGAGTCAGGACGAGTTCGAAGATGTTTGAACGAAATCTTTATCTTCAATTTTATTACATTGGATCGTGCGTTTTATTTATAATATCGAACAGGAAACACGTTTTATTCGAAAATTCGTTTTAATCGAGTCAGAAATCTTCATCTTCAATTTTATTTTATTATCTTAGATCGTGGAAACGTTAAGAAGAGTTTGAAGATGTTTGAACGAAATCAGTAATAAATAGGAAAGTAATCGTTTCTTATTTCTTCGCTCCACCAATCCATCCACTTCTCTATATATTTATTCCTACCCAATCTTCGAAATTCCGAAATCCCACCTCCCCCCCAAGGGGTGGCGTGTTTCTATTACGTCGTCCCGTCTTTGCACGTCTCCAAGCATCACCACCGACAGGATATTCTTCTCTATTTCACATCATACGCCTCCACCCCCGCGGAAATTGCGCCCCCTTTTCTTTTTTTTTTCTTTTTTATCCACCATACGTGCCTCTCACATCGCGCCAAAGAGAGAGAGAGAGAGAGAGAGAGAAAAATGCCTGGAAAATACTGCCCCCCTGCGGGCCTACTACCATTTTCCCTCTGCTCCCGAGTATTCGAGGCATACACACGTGCACGTGCAGGCGCATTGTTGACAAAAAACCAGTGACGTATCCGAGGGGTTGGAAAAAAATTGGTGGAAAATCGCGCGCGGGCGTCGGGACACTGATTCTTTCTCTTCTCTTTTTTTTTTTTTCCCCCCTTTTTATCTCATCTTTTTTTTCCTCCCTCGTCTCCCCCGGTCGGGCCCGCCGGTGTCTCTCTCTCTCTCTCTCTCTCTCTCTCTCTCTCTCTCGCACGAAGAGAACCAGTTGGCGAACTTTGAGGGAAAAAAAGGAAAAAAAATTCGTTAGGGGCGAGCCATTGTCGGACGTTTAACCCCCTCGTGCGGTCCTCGGCCTCGATGCGGTATCGAGATTGATGGGGAAACGATGATCGAGAGGAGAAGAAGGAGAGAGAGGGTCGAGAGAAATTCGTGAGAAGAGAGAGAGAGAGAGAGAGACGTGGAATTGGAAAAAAAGCGGCGCAAAGTCTTTTGTTCGCCGTGGAGAACCTCTTTCGAGGATTTCCGAG